AAATCTTTATTCAACAGAACAAAAGAGCGTACAACAAGACAAACGATATAGCATAAGAGTACACACACACTGAATTACATAAAAACATTCTACCCAGTCGATATATTTGCTAAATCCCCCCATTTTTTGTAATGACTGATCATATTGTTTTGTTTACGTGCGATGCTTTCTTCTGTGGCTTTAAAATTATTTACAAAGGATTCAAAACTATGCAATGAAATAGTTGCGGAATGACGATTCTTGAAAATATACACCTTTCCCAGTAATATTATGAGATTGCATATAATTGGTACTGCTTCATGATGATCACCCAATAGAATGTTCAACGGATTTTCTATATTAAGATAAAGTCCAGTTTTTTTGTTAAACCATTTCTGAACAGTCAGCCAAAATTTAAACACCTTTCTGCAATCACAAAAAAGGTGTTCTGTTTCTTCTTCTTCTGCACACAAGGCACACAGTGGAGATTCTTTTAGTTTCCAAATGTATAATAGTCTATTTGTTGCTAAAAATTTATGTATTAATTTGAATTGAAATATTCTGGTAGGGGGGTCGATTGTTATTCTATAAATGAGGAGAAAAACTTCCTTCCACGGAATTATGTCGTTCAGTTCATCTTCCCTGTAAGTCATAATGCTCCTTGGGTGATCATTTACATTGTTGTTTTCTAAAAAGAAATTGTACACTTTTTTATTGATCTTAAGTCCTCTCATCCATTCATAATTACGTAACAGAGGTCTGCGTACATTACTAACATTTCTCACATTATAACATTTCAATTTACTAAAAGATTGGGAGACTGTTGATATTAGTCCATTGTAAACAAATTCCGGAATACATGTAGACAGATTAAATTGGGTTGTTTTCTAACCTTGTCACATGGTAGTGAATGTAGGGCTGTCATCTGTTAGGAACATTCAAACTTTCTGGCCTTGCTGACTTGAGCCTGGCTGGAATAAACCAACATTTGAAGAAGCAATGGTTTACCCACTTAACCTCCGACTAGCTCTTGGGGATATCTTAGGGGGGGTTTACGGAAAAACCTGGGCTGTCTACCTTACCAGGCTACCTTACCAGTCTACCTTGCCTGTCTAGGACGTCAGGCTACTGAACTCCCCCCATCCACAGCCTCACGAACAGCAAGACTTCCAAGCAGCTGCGCCCCCTGGCGGAATGCATCAGAATTGCACCCACTACTTTGGCACGTGCGTGTGCACAAACCTTAGGCCTGTGCAGCATGGTAATCTCCAAGCAGATTTTTCGGTGGCAAGACAGTATCCATTGGCCAGAGGAGTGTCCATTAGCTTTGGTTGGCTAATGGATACAGGATGGCCAATGGATACTGTCTTTTGCCACCCAACCGAAAGATCTGCTAGGAGATTACAGCATGGAGATAACATAGCCTGACTAATCGCGCTCCTGGCGGTCGGCCGCCCCGAAGTGGGTGGGGGTCATTAACCTCTTGTGTAACACAGGCTAGGAGTTAAACACAGCAAGAGATCTAGAAATAAACTGAGCAGGATGTTATATTATGTTTCATTTTATTTTATCTAAAGTAATCAACAGTAACAGGGAAACGGATGTCGTGGTTACTTTGAGAGCGCACGGGTCGGAGTGTGTATTGCATCAGAACAGGGTGAACTTTTGACCGAAGCGCGGGGGCAGCATTGTCCGTGCCGCACATCTGTAGAGAAT